GTACCCTCTTGCCCTGGTGCTGCCCCTCCCCATATTGTTCCATAAATTTGTGAGAATACTGGAGCACGGGGTCTTTTGCTTAAGCCACTGACCTGGTAAGGGCAAAGACCCTAACTTAAGTTAGCTAATAAACTTTCCTACTGCATTTGCATTGTCGTGTGTTGGCATATTCCTCTCCGAGCATCTCCTTCATAACCTGGGCACAACACCAACAGATACACTTTAAACAATTGTGATAAGTGGGCACTAATCCACTCTGGGAGGTCTGGTGGGGTAGTGCCTAAGGCATTTGACTGCTAACCAGAAGGCTGGGGGTTCAAACCCACTAGCCACTCCTTGGACGGACCATTGGGCAATCTACTTCCATAGTGATACCACCTTGGAAACCCAAGGAGGGGGTAGCCATGAGTCTGATCTGACTTGATGGCAGGGAGTTTTTTTAGTTAATCTACTCTAGAATTTCCCATCATAAAAATTAGCTTTGGGAAGTGAGCAGCTAATTTCTTCCTTTCTTTTTGAATATTATCAACACTACGCTATTGATCTCTTAAAAACTGAAACTTGGAACATTTTTTAAAATGAAAATTAATTAGTAGTGAGGCAAGAATGGCACCAAAGTGAGGGAGAAAACCTGTCATTTGCCTTTCTGATTCCAATTTTCTGGAAATAGATAAGATCTAAATTGAAGCAGAGTGGAATCAAAATCAAGCCTTCGTCCTTAGTTGGAGGCAGATAAGTAAACATGATAACTCAGTTCCTTAAGAACTGAATAGAATGAAAGGTCAATTCACACATCCTCTCCAAGTTTTTCCCCTAGAAATAGGTGATAAAGTATGTTAATGTGTGTTTCAGGAAACACCTTGAAAATTAACTTTGGCCCATGGACGTGCACAGTGACACAAACGGGAACAAAATTTCTGGGAACTGACATTCTCCCCTCTGCCCAAGCCCCAATCAGCTGATAACAGGAAGCCTATGTGACTCATCCAGTGTGCAAGCATACTGCATTAAGAACAACTGTCCCTTTAAACCAAGGTGAAAGAAACCACAGCCAATCCCCAGTAAATTCACGCCCAAATTCCTGAAGTTTTTACGAATATGTACAACCCTCCTCTCCTGAAGCTTACAGAACTGTATCCCGACCTCCATTCAGGGAGTCCGATTTGGGTACTGGCTCCTGTCTCCTTGCATTGCCACTTTGCAATAAATAATTTTATCTCCTCTTAATCACTCAGTATGTAGACTATTTGGGCCTGATTGCACATCGGGCAGGGACCCATGTTTGGTCCGACTTCAAAATCAAAGAAGAGAGCAAGTCTATCTCAATGAAATCTGTATCTACTTGAGTACTGCAGAGTCAATGTTAAACTTATGTTTAGATAATTATATTCCATTCTGTTTTCCAAAACACAGAGGTTTGAATGTTTTTCTGAATGCTGCCATATTGAAATTTAAGGAGATCTCTGACTTTAATTAATTATGTGGATCAAGAATCTTGAAACAGAAGGAATAATTTTCTAAAGTTCTAGTCAACATGTCATAATTAGACAAATGTTTATGTACATTGGGATGAACTAGAGTAAGTTGGAAAGTAATTTATTTAAGTGAGAAATTGATAGTCCTGAGCACTTGCCATGGGTAGATTTTGGAGAGACTAAGACAAAAGATCAGAAGGCTATTTTGGTTTCACTTGCTTCTGTTAGCTGGAACTTTTTGGTTACTGTTGTGTCTCTTGATTTAAGTTCAGATAGGCCTAGTCACATTAATAATTTTTTTTTCTAATCATGGAATGTTTTGGATTATAAGTCACAACCAGTTATTGCAATTTTACCACATGATAGGTAAGTAATAAGGGGATTTTTTTTGTTGTTGCTAGAATGGAAGTGTTGTTGTTGTTATGTGCCGTCGAGTCAGCCCTGACTCATAGCGACCCCTCCTTGGGTTTCCGAGGCAGTATCACTACGGAAGTAGGATTGCCCAACCTTCCTTCCGAGGAGTGGCTGGTGGGTTTGAACCATCAGCCTTCTGGTTAGCAGTCAAGTGCCTTAGCCACTATGCTACCAGAGCTCCCAATGAATGGAAGTAGTGTCTAGAAATCATAATTGGTGATTGACATGCTCTTTACCCTCTGAAAACCAGCAGCTTCCTCCTGAGGAAGCAGGTAACAAAAGGGTCCAGTTTTCCTATACAT